CTCGTTTATCGCAGTTTTCTAATCCTTTCTTGCATTCGATGAATTTGAGCGATTCTGACAGTGATTGAACTAGATTATAGCTTTAAGCTATTCATATAGTATTCGTATGATAGAAAAAATTTCACGTTGTCGTTGCTTATTATATTATATATTATATTTTTCCTGTCGAAATAAACTATCTGTTAACTTTTTGCGCTGTTGATTTCGCAGAACGCATTACAGGGGGCGCCTTTTATTTATATAATTCTACTTCTTACGAACTCGGTATTAACGATCAAAATAACAATGTACTATTTGTTGGTTAAGAATAATTGATTCGCAGATCAGTTCACTGGTTTCACGGCAATTTGTCAATCTGTATTTTACGTTATGCAAATAAGAAGATATAAAGGAAATAATAATATTCACTTTCAAGACTAGGGAAATCAGTAACGTAGTAATTAATGCGTTTCATTGCATCAGTGTTGCGAGTACTGCTAGGAAGGGTATCTGATCTAGTGGGTAGCCACTCTGCTGGGGTTAGTGAGCTGAGTCATCGCCTTGTGCGATACTCGATCGCATCGTACTCTCCCGGCTCCAGCGACACACGTGCACACAATGAAACAGCCATGTGTATGCACGCACGTCATCTGTAAGAAACCCTTGATTTCCAAGCACTAGAATTTTTCATAGAATAATTGCTACGTACGTACGTGGTGTTCCGTGAAACAGAAGTCACACATAAAAAGTTTCTTGCTATATTTTCAAAAAACTCATTTCATAGTAATTAAACGAATTTTTTTATCGTGTTAAACTTTACTGCATCATTTGTTCGAAAGCTGCCGTAAAAATATTTTAAAATTATCCACTTGTTAATAAAGTCTTTGTTAGACATAAAATAACTGCGTTGTATACACGGCGTTAGCGAACCAGGCGTTTTACAGTTAGCTCTTAGTTACTTCTTTTTATTTCGTAAGATTTATCGATACGTCCAGCAGGTTCGATACAACGGCATTAACGTTTTAAATAACAATAAGCTTGTCACGCGGTTAAAAGCAAAACGAAAGATCTTTGTAATTGTTCTTACAAGAACGTGGCGTACATATGTTCAGGAAATTTAGTTTCAACATATGCTCTGGGCCTCGCGTTTATCGACCCATTCTCTATGGAAAGACGCGGACGGCGATGTTAATGTAGGTTAAAGATGGAAAGAAACACACCCTAGTGTGCTCTGAAAAAGCGCACCCGCGGTGCAAGAGTGCCGCATAAGTATTACGTTTGCACGTTCCTACAAAACTGACAAACTGCTCTTTGTTTCGAAGCTGAAGAGACCGCGGTTCCGCGTTTTCTAAAACGCGAGGCATCGCCTTGTTTGCACGTTTACGGCAAACCGCGATACAGAAACTTAACTGGCTAATATTTCGTTAAGTTTACGTATTTCGACGAGAGTTTCGTATTTTCGAAGACGCGTTTTGTGTTTTAACAACGAAGCGGTAAAGCGAATTTATCTGATTGCACGCGAAACTTTCTTCTTCGTAATACGCAAAACATCAAGGTCCAAACTGGTTGGTCAATCACCAAAATTGATTTGGTTTAATTGTTTGTATATCGAATTCGTCAGCTTAGAATTTCGAATCAATTAGTTATCTGTTCCCTCCGATCGGACGTGCGGTGTATTCTTTCTAATTCATCCCTCGTTCTTGAGGAAAGAAAAAAGCAGGTGGTGAAAATAGTGTTCGCGGTAGAGGTTGGTGCGCGGGAGATGAACTCGACGACGTCGACGTGATTTATGGCTAGAGGAAATTGCCCGAAAGTATACGAATTTTTCGTGGAACGACGAAATTACAAAACGTGATCCATGAAAAGCACAGTATCGACCAAGGATAATATTAGAAGAATAGCAAGAAATACAAACGAGCTGCCCGAGATAGAAACGAGATAGAAACGAGTTTCCATTCCTCCGTGTATACGCTCCAAGTGTGTACGATTGTTCGTGTTTTATACGATAGGGGGAGGGGGGGAAAAAATCTGAATGTGAAGTTTCGAGACGGTCGAACGGCAATCGAACCATTTTTCAAGGAGAACTATTCCCACGGCAGAATTAATCACGCTCCTCTTCCCCTATCGTCGGCGGCTGCTGCTCGTATCGTTAACTCCTCGACAAGAAATATTCTCGCGATTTATAAAAAGCATGTGAGCCGCACGTGCAATCTTCTATACGTCAACGATCCTTTTCGTTATTACTTTCGTAAATGCGTATCGAAGTTGAACGAAACAGAGGAAGGACGATGCAAATCATAGAAAATTTATGCTACTCGTGTATACATAGAGTGGGTAGCCTACTACCTTTCTTGTTGTTACTATCACACGCGCATGTATATTGCAGCAGGCCGATCTTGAAAAACCATTTTGTATCCCCGAGATCCTATCCCTTGCCATTTACCCAGGAAATACCCTCAAAAAAAATATATAACCCAGCGGTATCTGACGCGCATGCCCTAGAAACCCTATCAGCAATAATTCACGCACGGAGGATGCTCTTACCTCAGTACGGCCGGGGTGCACATGTATAGCGGTATGTATCGCAAGTATCGGCCAGTTTCTTCCTGCGAGTAAACGGCCATGTGTGCTCCCCAAGTAACAGCCTCGTGTCCACGTATACAAGAATATATGCGCAAGTATGATATAACTCACTCATAAAGTTCCAGGCCACTGGTGCCGCGTAAATTATTAAGCATGTGTTGCCTCTGCCTCCTCGGCTAAAGAGGAAAGGAACAGGATAGCGGATCCGATAGCAAGAGGACGAAAGGTCAGAGAATCTGACTGGGAGGCGGAGAAAGAGGAAGAAGGTAACTGACGGTTTCTGGTTCGACCTTCTCGTCGGTCTCTCCATAGGATGGAGCACCATT